GCCAGGAACGGACTGGAGACAGCGCCGGGAGGGGCCAGGCCTACTGGGCACGGGACAGGTGGCGTGTGGGGCCATTTCCTTCGCTGTCCCTGTTCTCTGCATAACAAGGGCAGGCCTAGTGCCGGAGGGGGCAAAGGGAGCAGTTGCATAGGGCCTGGTGGCAGCGGCCGAAGCACCGGGCCCTTTGAATTGCCATGGGAGTGCTGCTTGGTGGCTCTGAAGGCTGGTGGGGGAGAGGGGCTACTGGGCACGGGACAGGTGGCGTGTGGGGCCATTTCCTTCGCTGTCCCTGTTCTCTGCATAACAAGGGCAGGCCTAGTGCCGGAGGGGGCAAAGGGAGCAGTTGCATAGGGCCTGGTGGCAGCGGCCGAAGCACCGGGCCCTTTGAATTGCCATGGGAGTGCTGCTTGGTGGCTCTGAAGGCTGGTGGGGGAGAGGGGGAAGTCCCAGCACTGCACTCAGGTGGCGCTAAGGAATGACTGTCAGTGGCCCCGCCCTTCTGTCATTGACTCCACCCCTCTTGTCTTTGGCCCCGCCCCCTCTGCCCGAGGCTCTGCCCCGTCCAGGGCTCATAGCTGAGCCCCCCAGGCCGACTCATCCATTAGGCACAGCAGGCACAGTGCCTAGGCCCCACCATACTTTTAGGGGCCCACAAAAATGTTTTAATTTCTTTTAAAATCAGAAGAAAAAAATGAACTTTTAGGGTTGAAGAAAATCTATTACATTTTGCCTAAAATGGAAAATAAATAAAATGTTGAAATATTTAAAGTTATATCAAAAATAATTTGTAATATTTTTTTATGGAGGATGTGGCCCACGAAGGCAAAAGTGCCGAGGGCCCACGAAAGTCATAATGCGGCTCTGGAGCCCCCCATACCTGGCCCTGGGCCTTGGCCTGCCGGTGAGGAATTCAGTCACTAGCACCGGGTTCACCTTAAAGGCTGCAGCAGAGCCAGGGAAATTAGCCTCTCTCCCCCATAGCACAAGATCTCAGAGGGGCGGCCAGGTGAGTCTGTTTCAGCAGAACCAGCAAGGAATCCATTGGCACCTTAGAGACTCACACATGGGTTTGGGCACAAGCTTTCATGCCTCTGACAAAGTGGGTTTTACCCACAAATGCTGCTGCCCAACTCCCCAAAGTAAATTAATTAATGGAGATTGCCTGTCTCCTAGGACTGGAAGGGACCTTGAAAGGTCATTGAGTCCAGGCCCCTGCCTTCACAGCAGGACTAAGCACCATCCCTGACAAATTTTTGCCCCAAATCCCTAAGTGGCCTCCACAAGGATTGAACTCACAACCCTGGGTTTAGCAGGCCAATGCTCAAACCACTGAGCTACCCCTCCCCCCGTAAGTGCCAGAGGACTCCCTGTTGTCCTAACACACAGAACACGCCTTGCTGTGGTGACTGCTTATTTTTATATCCCCACGATGGCCTTGTCTACGCCGCCACACTAAGTTGACTTAGCTCCATCGCTCAGGCCTGTGAAAGATTTCGCCCCGGCCTGGCATAGCTCTATCTATCCCTCGCTGCAGACG